GGCCAACAGATTCACCCAGCAACTGCACCACCAGGGGTGAGCTAAGGCTGCCCTCCAATCAGTTTGGATAACTGCACATTGAACAAGTGAGATTAGCTCACACACCCAGCTGAAAACTACTCTACCATAAGGTCAACTTTCCATTACATCGGCAAGCTCATCTAATCACACCACTGTATGATCACTGGAAGTTTTTCTATACTCTGTGTGTTAAAAACATACAATCAAGACAGGATTTTTCAACTGATATAACAGTCCAGTTATATCAGTGTAAGCCATAAAATCACACAATAATGTTCTTTAGAAAAAGCAAAAAGGAAAGTAGAGGACACTGCTGGGCACACTAGAATTTCCTGCACACTGTGACAGAATCACATACAAATGAAATCAAAACACTGCARCTGGCCAACACTGGAAAAGGTTTCATTTCAGCTTTATGTTAATGTTAACTTTAACATTCTTGGCAATTTTGACCACTCCACTRTGTCAAGTTTCACTTTAAATAAAGTTCAATATGAATCATTACCTGAATGGTCTTTTAAATGTAAAATACATAAAACTTGRTAATATTTAATACATTATTCTTCTAAGAATCTACCTGTCCATAATACAGTGACAATCACTGGCAGCAGTACCAACCTTCATGCCATCTTACATTTTTCTCAGCATCATCTCCAATGACCTACAATGCTTTCTCAGACAAATGMCACTCCAGAAATTACGCCATCAAGGACTTCAGCTGCCTTTCTGAAAGATCTCTTTATAATACCACCACTGTATGACAGACTGATTTCTACATATAATAAGACTGATTTAATTGGAATTTGATAAGCTACTACTTCATAGCTCAACACTCACCAACGATGTCAAAGAGCACACCTCATATACCTAGCTTGTATTTCTATTTTTCTGGTCATTCTCTTGTCATGCTTTACTCCATAGCGCTGAAAAAAAAGCCTCATATGGGCTACTCTCTGATTTAAGAGCACACTTCTAAGACCACAGTCATCCTTTGATCTTTTTTGTGGTCAAACAAAAGAGCAGTCTAAATTATTTTTTTCTTCAGGTCTCATGTCATTTGTGAGTATGATGCAATCTTTCCATCTAAAACACTCTATTTAAAAAATGTCAGACCAAAACTATACACTGTATCTTAATATTGATCCCCCTTGAGCTACACCGGGTCATGGGAGAAGAAATTTACCTAAGGTTTTAGTCAGTCGTCCCCCTGGTTATAAACCAACACCTTAAGTGTTCAGATTAAAAAATAAAAAATAAGCACACAACTATTAATAGCTGCAAGTAATAAGCAAAAAAAAAAAAAAAAAAAAAAAAAAAAAAAAAAAAAAAAAAAAAAAAAAAAAAAAAAAAAAAAAAGGCAATTAAGAAAAGCTGTATCTGGAAGTGTTATTTTCAATGCTGACAAAAAAAAATCTCTAAATCTTCTGTGCCACTAAGAAATAATTCAGTTCTATTTTACTTTCTTAAGTGCTTCTGAATGTAACACCCAGAGTGATATTGTTCAGTAATACTGCTTCCAAAATATTTTCAAATGCATACTGAACTATCACCACGTTAAATAACAGAAATGTGGCGTGAAAACAGCCACACAAAGAGCCATTCGAAAATAAGACACAGAACTATTCTGTTCCCCATGAGTGGCTTTAAGAAGGGCTGCCGGGCAGTGACTCTGAGCAGCAGCTCTGCCAGCCTGTGTAACCAGCAGATTCCCGTAAGGCACATTTGAAGCGTGGAATAGCACCGATGCACAAAAAGCAGGAGATTAAGTGGCTTTTGGGGGAAGGAAGTCCAGGATGTACATCAGAACAAGGTTTAGTCAGGCGTGTGTTTTACACTGCTCTAACTAAAACTCTGTCAAAAGCAAAGTGGATACATATTGGTTTCTGAAGCCCTCATGAACCTACTGGCACTTTTTGATTTTTAACATAAAGTAAGTATGCAATGGCTTACAGGAGTTTCACAGCCATGTTCGTGCAATAAAGCCAATATCTGGTTTTACAGGGCTGCTGCATTAAACTGAAGTTATGTAAGTAAATGCTGACTTGATTCTTCCTACTAAAAAATACTACAGAAAAGAGCTACCTGACAATATTACAGAGCTACCAGTATGCAACCATTAAACCTGGGCTGGAAAAAAATTTGCCTCATCCCTGACATACATGAAACTCACTCTGGCAAGGTGAACAGGAAGTCACTGGTTTCTGTGAACTGAGTTCCTGGCCCTTGCAATAGGGAAATGCCTTCCCCTCACTTATGCCACCATCCCCACCTCTGCAAGACATCTACTCCACAGACATCAGCTCAAGACTGCTCAAACCCTCCTACTGGATAGTTTGCGACCGCCTACAGTTTAACACTACYCCAAATTTGAATTACTAATTTAAACGAGGCTTAACTAAACTACTTAAATGGGACTAAATGCCATTCTAATTACAGAGCACACATTTGCAATTAACTAGCTCATTTCASGAGCTGGAGCATCAACTTACAGAAAACAGAACTGTCGCTCATACATACACATCTCTGGTCTAGACAGGTTAAGTGAATAATCTGGCAAATAAACTGAAGCTAAAAATGTATGTCATACTACAGTTCTGAAGAGAAACCTCKCTCCTACACCTTCTCTGAGGCAAATTTTCTTTCACTGACTTTGTGTTTAAAATGAGGTTTTGAATCTGCAGCCATTGTATTTTGTAACTATTTGTTGTCTTAATGGGTATTTTAGGGCGGTATTAAAAATACCACCGCAGCAGCACTGAGCCATAAGAACGAAAGAAAATACAGTACATAAGGTATGAGCCTGCCCAATGGAAGAGACTAAGTACCACTAAGTTGACAGCCAGTTAAGTACCACTAAGTTGACAGCCAGTTAAAGAAAAAAAGAATTCTGCTGTGCACATTTAGACATTTCTATGCAGGAAAAAAAGCAAAATCTATTGTATTTTAGCTTATAAAGCAGACAAATCTGATCCTTTATTTCTGTATAAGACAAACAACCATCTTTATCCATATACACAGAAACACACATGAACTGAACATGTATCTGGAGACTGTTTTAACTGACACCAGTTACTTGTCCTTATGGGTAAACAGAAGGAAATGCTGTGATTTATTATCAGTGCACGGCTGATATGCACAGACTTTGCTACATCTGCTTCAATTTCAAAATGACTTAAGTAACAACCCTTTCTTCCATAGGGGCAAACACAGAACAGGTGACGCTCTTGCATTCCAACTCAGGTTTCAACACAGACAAGGTAGTAATTGACCTTTAAAGCAATGGCTTCTTGAAAGCAACCCTCCTTAAGATAAAATTCCTATTTATTAGTTTTTGTTATTCATAAGTCATCTTAAAAAAAAATGCAGTMATCCAAAGTCAGAGTGAATTACTGCTCCTTCGTTCACAAATCAACAGCCAAAGATGTAATCCCACAAACTAAGCAGGTATCAAGTGAAAGATGTTWAACACTACACAGAAACACATCATCCCTTATTTCCTAACATTTCAGCAGGCAAAAACTTTAAAATACATGCAGAATTATAAAGAAGAAATAGTATTAGAMGATAACTCAGTGAAGTTCTAGTTATCAATTATCATTTAGCACTGAAAAGCTATTACTGCAAAAAAAACGCACTTCCGTAGGAAGGTACAGTCCACCTTTTAAGCTCAGCTATATAGCACTGTCCCATCTAACTTTCATGGGAGCTAAACCTGCATATTTTTACATAAACTGACTTTTTTTTTATCATTATATTAATACGGACCATAGATATTTCTGCATCTGGAAGCATTTCTTTCACTGAACATAACCTGAAGCCGCTGTCAGTCAAAGGAAAAAACACTCAGTGAATGGGCAGCTCTCACAGTCTTCTGTTCAGTGGTATTTCATCTGCAGGAGGCGGCACACAAACTGCACGCAGAATATTCCTGAATGCTGTGTTTCTCGGAATTACASTTGCACATAAGTGGTTCAGCGTGAAGCCAACAACTTCACGCTAAAATAAGTCTAGCTGCTTTTCCTTAAGTCGCCCTTTAAAAAAAAATCGCCGTGCATAATCGCCCCTTTTCCTAGTCACCCTCCTSAAACACTAAGCACCCCTCCAATTTATTCTGCAAGACTGGTTCGCTAAGCGAGCGGATCAAACAAACTGCTCAAAAAGGCGTTTCATACAGACWCCCGGGGCGGCTGTCAGTAAATTGTAATTTCTACTTTCTCTTTTTCAGAAACGACCGGGCGAGAATCCCCTCGGGCTGCAGGGCCAGGGGCTGGGCCGCGCGGGCGAGCGGGCGTGCAGGGGCAAATAAAAGCCTGAACCAAGCGAAATATAGCCCTCCAAAATACCCAGAGAAAAAGGAAAAAAAGGAACGGGGTGGGGGGAGAGAAAAAAGGGCAGGAGAAGCCAGCAAGCGAGGCGGGCAGGCGGCTGGCGGGCTCCCGCTGCCACACACGCTCCCATCCGCGCACGGGCGCCCCCTTCCTTCCTTCCCCCTCCTCGAACGATTCCAGTCCCACCCGCTCCTCTCCCGCATATTTGAAAGGCTTCTTTAATTCCTGCAGCAGCAAATTCCTCCCTCCCAAATTTGGGCGCAAAAGGAGAAAAAGGGGAGGAGGGACCAGGRTGGAGGGGGAAGGGGAGAAAAGCGAGGGAGAAGAAATATCTCCGGCATTCTCGCCGCCCGGCTCCCCAAGCCCCGCGCAGGCATTATACAATTTCGGAGAGGCAGGAAGTGACTGCGGGGGGGTGGGGGGGAGAGGCGGCGGCGAGGGGGGCTGGAGCCGCATCTGAGCAGGAGGAGATGGAGGAAGGCGGGGGGCGGCCAAAGGGACGGGGGGCCCCACGGTGGGGCCGCCAGGATGGGAGCCTCGGCGGTGCCCGCTGTATCCCCCCCGCGCCGTCTCTCAGCCCACCCATCGCGGCCGCAGGCTCGCACTGTCACGGTCCCCCCGCCGCGCCTCGGCCCCGGGCTGGAGACTCACCCATGGCGCTGGCCGGCGGCGGTGCGGCTGCCGCTGCTGACGCTGGGCTCCGGCTGGCTGCTCGTCCTCCCGCCCTGCCTCTCTCAGCCGCGGCGGCACCGAGCGGGCCGCCCCCTCCTCCCTGAGCGCCTCCCGCCAGCCAACCCGGCGGCGATTCACCAACGCCCCCTACGCCGATTCCGTCGAGGGGCCGCGGCCCTTCCGCACACGGCGCCTACGCGCGCCCGCTCCCGCGGCTTGACGGACTTAGCGGCTCCGCTCCCGCCGCCGCCTCCGCCTGCTCCTCCTCCTTCTCACTCGCCGCCTCCGCCCAGCTCCTCACACGCTCCCCACCCGCCTCTCCGAGCACGCAGCGGCTTCCGGCTCGGCCCCTCAGCCCGGCGCAATTCCCACGTCTCTCTCCCGACCCCTCCCAGCCCGGGGACGGTCCCGCAGCTATTTCCTCCCGCGCCGCGCCGGAGAACAGAGGGACCGCTGGGAGGCCATTTTGGAACCGGGCGCACGCTGCGGGAGCGCCAAAGCCGCACGGCGGGCGGGCCCGCTCTGCCCGGAGCAAAGATGTCCGCCGGGCTTGACGCGCGGGGCGAGGCGGTCGCACCGCCCCCGCCTTGCGCCGGGGCCATTCTCGGAGCGGCGCTGCTCCGTGCGCGCCCGGCGGGGCCCGCGGCGAGCCGGGGCCCCTACGCTGTCTGCGGCCGCCCACCCACGCAGGTGGCGTAGGGAGCGGCCGGCGGGAGAGGGGCACCGGGGATGGGCCGCGGCAGCGAGGCCTGGAACCCGCCCCAGACCCGGGAGCCCCGGGCTGCGGCACAGCGGTACTCCGCTCTCTGCCACCGCCTCCCCACAAAGTCACGATCGGGTGCCCAAGTCCCCCGGAATGAATGAAGTCTCGTTTAAAAAAAAAAAAGAAAATTGAACGCAGCTGTTGGCAAGCACTAGGTAAAATCKTTGTAGAGGGCCGAAGGGATGCTTGCGTGCCCTGGGAATCGCACTGCCAAGCCCTCCCTGAATCAGCCTAGGCATCTTTGATAGCCTGAATTGGTTCCTCGGCAATGCTGCTGCCAGCCGGGATAAACGTCCACTGCAGTACAGAAGTGACGCGCGAAAAAATGTTTTTCTGCCTCAAGAGATGGCAGAAAAACACCTTTTTCCTTTCCTTTTCTAATCGACCTCTCAATGTTGTGTTTCCATTTCATATTTTGGACGGGTATCTGTCCAAAGGCTCCAAGAGTCTTTTAAATTCAGGGTTATTTTGTGCCCAAACTGGAATATTGGAGAACTGTATTTATGATGTGCGATTTGAAACTTAACATGCTTTCTTTTGTGTTAGGGTGGTCCTTTCCTGGCCTTAACATGTGGCACRGTGCACTTCTCTAATAGCGAAAGATACTTGTCAAAAAGGAAAAAAATGCATTAATTTATTGTTTATTATATAATTTWTTGCTGCCATAATTAAAAGTACATCTTAACAGCATGCTCTGGTACTAGGAGGATGAAAATAGCAATTTTTTATCTCAGCAGCAAAAGGAAATTTTTCAATAATGCAGTATTKCTGTAGGTAGAGTCATAGCCAGGCAGGTGGGAGAAACAAGTTTGCCTTTGTTTCTCACAGAGTTCCATCCGATTCTTTCCTGTCTATGTMCAGCACAATTTTTTTGTGTGCATTTGATAAATACTTCTCATGACAGCAAGGAAAATGCATAATCCATTCAGAAAGGTATGCAACCCTGCACAATGTGGTTCAGCACTGTTTAAGAACTGGAAGTGTTACAATATACTGTGGTTCTTGGGTGCCCAAGGGAAAGAGATTTTTGTTATAGTTGGTCACAGGACTGCCAACTGTTATCTCGTAAATCCATGTCTTTCACAATGGATGAGGTAAGAAATAACCTTTTTTTTCCATTCTGGTTGGTTTAGGTGGTAATATCCATGGCAATGAGGTACAGCTACATTGCTTTCTTGGTTATTTGAATACCAAAAAGAGAGATTTTACACCACAAAAATTGTTCACTGAATGCAAAATATGATCCCCACAGCTCTCCCATAAAAATACATTGTGGGAAAACAAACAATACAAATAATACTTGTTTTCTCTCTTGTAGTAATGGCTTCAAATTACTTAAAAACATTTATCTTGGTTTTCAGATATGTAATGTTGAGAAAATAGTTTGTAACTGTTGGGAATACCTTCAAGTAGGGAATCATGATTTTGGGGAATTCCCTTTTAAGTAGAACATTACTCTGTGGATTGATTGTTGGAAAAACAAAAGTGAACTTGCACCTTTGAAATCTACTGCAGAACTGGCACAGGCTTAATGAGGAAGCAAGATACAAGCCAGTGGGTTTTATGTGAGGTTGATGTCCCATTTTTCTGGGTTGTGAATAACAGAGGGGTGGTTTCTTTTCATACAGCAGTTCGCAGGCTTGCAAAATTGTGTTCATTTTGAGAAATAAAGCAAATGCAAATGGGTCCCGAGTTTTGAAAAATACTGCATTCTGTGTACAATATAATAAATCCAAACTTCTTCCTTTCCCATAGTGATCTGTTGTTCTTCCTTCAAAAGCAAAAGCTTCACTAAATATGTGATTGAACTTTAAAAAACTGAACAAGTAAGCTTCAGGATTCTGTAAATTGAATTTATTTGATTCATAGATGGAAGGTACAATTTTGTGAYTGCTTTTTGTGAAAGTAATAAAAAGCTTTGCAAACTTAAATGTAGGACACTAYCTGCCACAACTCAAACCCCATCTCTGTTCCTCTTCAGATACAAAAACAAAACCCAGTCACCTTATTTAAAAAATTTGCTAAGTAGGGTTGCCTCCAGGTTGTTTCTCAACCAGCCTAGCCAGTTTCAGTTTCTTCTTGCCAGTGAGACATAGGAAGACTATTTTGTTTTTGTATTTCTTCTAATGCAAGGAGATGTGACTCACTAGGTAAATTTGCAGACGGCATTAGCTCCAGCATGGGATGTGGTGGAATTGTCGTGCTTGTATCCTGCTGACTTGCTCCTGCATGGCAGCTCCAATCCCTCCTTGGTTTGTAGGGCATGTGGTGCATCTCAAGACTGAATCATGCTTGCTCAGTGAGTCCAAAGCATGCAGCATCCTTTGGAGCTGCTGTGCAAGCGTAACAGATCTCTGTGTACCAGCAATGTCTTGCCAAAACAGCCAGTTTTGTTACACCAACASGGTGAAGGCCTATTGAGGATGCTCAATAGTGAATAATGAGCAAAGCATCCTCCTTCAAACCCATCCTTACATCTCAGATTTGTAATGATGCCTACYTACATCTTGACCACTCTTTGACCCCTGCTTGTCATGTTGACCAGAAATGTCTCTGGTCCTTGTACTGTGTTGCCTCGTGGACATCTGTTGCCCCTTACAATGAATGTTTTTGTAAATGCTGCCATTTTGCTTTGTTCTCTAGCACAAGAAACAGCAGTAATACAAGTACTAACATTAATATGAGGCATCAGGTGTCACATCTGTCTTGGCCRTCAGCCCTGTCCTTTGGGAACATACCAAGTCAGTATGGTCACTCGTCTGAGTAGAAGTTTCATGTCAGGCCTGTGTTTGGGGTGCTTCTCTGTATTCGAAGGACAGCTGTCATGAAATAATCCTTGCAAACTTACAAGTAACACAGTAACCAGCTAGAGGGATGAAGTACCTCTCCTTTGAGGAAAGACTGAGAAAATTGGGTTTGTTCAGCGTGGAGATGAGAAGGCTTCTGGGTGACCTAATTGCAGCCTTCCAGTACATGAAAGGAGCGTACAAGGAAGATGAAGATGGACTTTTCACTGGAGCACACATTGATAGGACAAGGTAGAATGGCTTCAAACTGAAAGAGAATAGATTTAGATTAGATACATGGAAAAATTCTTTACTGTGAGGATGGTGAGGCACTGGAGCCAGCTGCCCAGGGAAGCTGTGGATGCCCCATCCCTGGAATGTTCAGAGCCAAACTGGATGGTGCTCTGAGCAACCCAGTGTGGTGGAAGGTGTCCTTGCTCATGGCAGGGAGTTCAGAACCAGATGATCTTTAAAAGCATCTTCTAACTCAGGCCATTCTATTGTTCTTTCCTAACTATCATTGTTGCTGCATCATGGCTGTCACCTTTGGCTGCACCTACAAGATTATTCTACAGATATGCAAATRAAGCAAGATAAAATGTTCACCTCTTGGCCCTGTTTTAAGTTTTGCTATTTGCTTTTTTTTTAAAAGTGTTCTGCAGCAATAAGGAAGAGCCGCATTCACCAGCGAATACTTATAAAATGCTGTAAAAGTTATGAACACAGGCTTCTATTGAGCAGTTGCTACAGGAAAAATACAGCATCTCTTGTTCTGTAGTGTGTTTACTGTATCGTCCTGGTATACATCCATTACTTCAATTATCTAAAGAAAGAGGCTTTGATAGATTACRTCCCAATGATGTGATCCTTGTGAGAGGCACACACATGCACTTATTGTTTAAGGTAGAAAATGGTTGCTTTGTGCAGTTATAGTCGTGTAGCAGGGAATATAGATCAGTAGACGCAGGAAGGCAGCCTAACCCTTGGCCATGCACTCACACTGACTATTACTTCCTCAAGTGAGGTGAGATACAACCATTTATGGCAGTTTCGTGCTTCCATGTGAAAGACTTGCATCTTGGGAGATGCGGGAGGTTTCCAGTAGTGTTAAGCTATTTATAAAATGCAGTCTAATGCGTTGTTTGTACAACAGTCAGAGATGGAAGCTGGTGAGCTGACAGGTTACAAAATTTGCTATGCCAGGGAGTCAGAGCCTTGAGCAAAGGCTCTTGTCACCCTTTCACCCTTCCGCCCCTCTGCTTGCAGGCAGTAACGGTGACTGCCAGGATGACCAGGAGCAAGGCGATGGTGTGTGCCACGTGTCCTGTAATTCCAGTTCTCAGTTTGATTATTTGTTAATAAGTAAACCCCGCTGGGGTTGGGAAGGTCTCAGTAAATCCTTCTGCGGCTTTCCCTGTACCCAGATGTGTAATTGTTATAGGCAGTGCTGCAGCTGAACGTGCACTGATGGACTGTTGTGTCTGAGATGGGTGTAAGGGGCTGCTCAGGCTGCCACTGCTGCTAGAGCAAGGCCTTTGGGGAGCTGGGCTTGCTGCCTAGTCACATTAGCAAGTGCTTTGTAGACTAGAATAAGGTACTGCTGTCATACTTTGCATATTAGATTAGGAAAAGRAAATACTTAGACATGTAATGCAATGTGACATTGCAGTTTTTTTGGTTTTGTTTGATTTTTTTTTTTTAATTTCAGGAAAGGAATTGTGCTTTCCCAAAGAAAAATGTATTTTTCTTAAAATGGATTAATGAGCTTAATATTAATTTATAAGCTTAATATTAATTTTCTGCATAAACGCCAGACAGTGGAGGTTTTTTTTATTTCCAGAAGGAAAATATTAGAGAATAAATMGGATATTACAAAATGGATTAAAACATCAATTCTGTGTGTACAGCAGTCAGCTCTTTATTCTCTTTACTCATATCAGGACACTGTTTCTATAAAAAGTAAAGTCAATGACAGGTTCTGATGGGAAACCWGTACTGTGTACCCAGTGCTACTGTGGCCCCAGCAGTCTGGCTTTGTATTTTCCAGTTGTCCCCTTTTGATTAAAGGACATCTACATCAGCCTRAGAACATTGAATCAAGCTTTGTCTTTGCACATGCTCAAGCAACAGCAGTACGTCTAGTACTTGACATTAGATTTGAGGTGGCAAYGTGCACAGCAGGGCCTTGGGTATAAATGCTGAGCAACTGAAGCCAAGGGTTGCAGATTGTGCCCCTTACCGGCATTTTAATCACCTTGTCACATTATTCTTTTTCCTTTACCTGTAAAAATGTGACTCCAGCTTCTGTTATAGTTACTGGGATACCTACAATCTGAAATCCTCTCCAAATTCATTCCAAAGTGACGAGTCTTTTCCTTGTGGTTCAAGTTGGACCAGTTTGGACTCTTCTCCCCCTGGGTAGGCAGTCCTGAGTCCACCACTGCACTTACCCCTCTGCCACTGCTGAGCACATAACTTGGCTCGCAGGTCTGCCCTTGGAGGCTGCACCTGGCACTTAAATGAATTGATTAAGCACAATTAATTGCTTGTCATGACCTGTAGGTGCATAGGATTTCACAAAGTGAAGGACTCATACCACCACTCCTGTCTAATCTACCACACAAACACGTATAACTTGTGCAAGTTAGCCAGACCATCCTTCCTGGTTTTTCTGAGAAGCTGCTCTCTAGGAACGAAATTATTGGTGACTTAGCACCAGAGCATCAACCCTAAACTTCCTGAAAGTCACTTTTCAGATACTCAGATGCACWTTTCAATGTCTGGTACTCCTTGTGCATTTGATCTTTAGGTTCCAGCCTAAACCTAGTCATTGACCCTCTGGGCTAGAATCAATGAGTACAATCTTTTATCATTCACTGCTTGGTTTTGTCTCCTGCTTTTGTCRGAGGATGACTTATTTGTCCCTGTCTTTTGGGCTTTGCTAATAGTTTATCTTGTGGCAGTCATTAAACTGAACACACCTAGGTATATAGCWCCAGTTAATCCAGTAGAGCTACTCACTTATCCTTTGCAACAAAAGGTGTTATGAAATACTTATCCATAAGTAAAAAGCAAACTATTTTTTCCTTTTTTACTTAAGCCATGTATGAGGGTTGGCATCTGATTACACATAGGACTGACTGAATGCTACTGCTATTTATGACATTGGGAATTTTGCAATTTAAAGTTTATATRATCTCAAACAGAGCTCTCTATGAACAGAAAAAAAGTCTCAAAACCATGTTTTGTTAAAAATCAAAAAACAGTAAAATATTAATATAACATTATAGAAATACTCAAAATACATTCTAGTTCAATCCAGTTAGTTAAATTATTGGTGCATATTGTGAAAAAAAAWTTAAAAACATAGAACAAGGAAAATGCTGAAACTTAATCCAGATTAGTTCTTTGTATTCTGAATTACATCATTCTGAACTTCTATTTTACATAAGGGTAAAAGTACTTAGTGATTTTGCTATGATGACTGAGCAATACTAGAAATAGAGCACAGTTCTGAAAGAATCAGTTATATAGACAGTTGGAATTCATAATGGGAGATAATGGTCTTTTTGATGATGAATCCACTTATAAGCCAAGAATATTTTAAGATCTTGTTTCAAAGTAGATGCATTAGCATAACCCAAGACTTATCCTTGGTCTTCCAGATAAGGAAAGTTCTTGTATTGCTGCAATAACAGACAGTTATAGTGTTAGAGAGTTTTTGAAGAAATTGTGTGCTTGTTACAGAGCCAAACTTCAGATGCACTCTTTGTAGTGTGTAAATGTTAATGCAAAATACATAATCTACATGGAAGTGTGGAAAAAATAAGGGTCAGTGTTATTTGCATAATATCACAGATACATTTTTTGAAACAACTTTGGGGTCATGAGGTCATTAAGTGTCCTTGGATAAACTGGCAGCATGGATGTTTCCTACACAGGATGTTTCTAAATGCCTTGCCAACACCTTTTTTCCCCCCCAACAGTCCAATGGCATGCCCAAAGTCCTGTAGAAACCATGGCTAATAACTGGTCAAATATATGGGAAGCATGTACTGTTTGTTTATATACTGATAGCACTTTTTGATAGTTAATCTTGTGCTGTATAGAGTACATGGCAACACTATTATATAATATACTCAATGTTATACATGTATACATATGTGTATATATATGTATGTATAATACATATATAAATATACACACATGCATACATACATACATAGACCTGAAATGCGTAGATTAATGACTTTGTGTTTTATGAATATACTAGTATTTATAATGCCCATGCCTGTCTTCAGGTGTTACTCATCTTCACCAAAGATACTGTGATAGAAATTGTCTATTGGACAGGACACATCCATGCTAGTTGCTATGTGTTTTTTCTTTCCTTGAAATACTCAGCTGGAAAGTTGAATGTTATCAAAAGAGGGTTCAGTTGCGTCAGAAGCAAATGCTTGTCTACATTACCTTTCTTTAAAAGGTGTTTTGACAACTTTATTGCAAAAAGGATGTAGTATTTTTCTACCCGTTGTGTATTACTAAGCAGCTCATGCAGTTATTGTTGTGTTGGCTAGCTGCTTCAAAAATCAGTGTATTTCATTCCAGTTCATGAGCCAATGATTCTCCCATTTTATATCAATTTATTTCTTGKTGGTTTTTCTAGTTTATTGTATTTATCTCAACTATTTAATATGTCTGCAAATGTCCCCATGGTAATGGAATTCACTTGGCAGCACTGTATAGTTAT